CCCCCCAAAAAAAAAATAAAAAAAAGATAGACCCTAATGTAGAGAACTGCCCAATTAGTGCTGGTAAGATCCCATTTTACAGACCCCTAGACAATGCACTCGTTGTATGTGAAGAAACGACCCAGCAAGCGGGTTCTACGGGTGCTTGTATGTCTAAACTAAGAGCCAACGAGGGTCTGCACCACAATAAGGTCACAAATTGCATAGCTCGATGTTAACAAAAACCCTAAACCCTCAACTCCTAAACTTTTAAACTTTAAACGCCTAAACTTCTGAACCCTAAGCCGTTTCAAAGCTATAAAAGCCAAGTCCTCTGTGCTAAAACCCCTCCTTGACTCCGCAATGTCCCTGAGGCACCAGGCAGATTCCAGGGTGAGCTTTCCAGGAGCAGCTCCAGGGACCTCTTGGGAGGCGTCTAGGGTTTGCAAAAGCAAAGACTGACTTAGGGTTTAGGGATTTAGGGGTTTAGGGGTGTAGGGTTTAGGGGTTCAGGGTGTAGGGGCCTAAACAATTACCAATACTATTTTGGGCTTCCTGCTGAGAATTATGGTATAATGGGCCCCAAAGCCCTATTCTAATTATCAAGGCCCCTACATTAGGGTTTGCAAGAGCAAAGACTGGGGGTTTCATGTAGGGCCCTTCATAGTTAGAATCGGGTTTTTCTTCGGGGGTATATTATACTCTAATGCTTGCGAAGACAAAGGTTGAGGGTGCACAGCAGGTGTGATCAGGGCTTCGGTGATTGACTGGACTTTGAAGTAACTGGGGAGAAAAAAGTATGGACTTTTGTTTTATAATGGTTCCTTAAAAGGAACAGGTCCAATAAACAAGTATTCAAGTATGGTACTCTAGAACCCAGTTGACTATATGGGATACTGTCGGGGTTACTCTTGAAGGGGTTGCTCTGGGGGGGGGGTTTCTGGTATGGGGATCGGGGTGGGGGCGTAAATGAAGAATTCTAGGGCTTACGGCTTAGGGTACTTTCAGGGTGGGACATGGACTTGCTTCGAACTACTTGTCAAAAAGCTACAGCTTCTAGGTCTTGATGTGTCGTTAAGCTTTCACAGCGTCTCATGGCGCCCGAAGACCCCTTAAACCCCCAAACCCTGCCTGGATCTGGGTAGTTTTCTAAATTACGGTCCCGTTTATAAGGGTGCCGTACTGGGACCCCAAAAAGGGCCCTAATTTAGAGAACTACCCATCTACGCCCGCTGGGTCTTGAAGATGTAGATCCGGACAGATTTACCATGTCTGAAAACTTGCTTGGATTTACGCCCCTGTGTTCTATAACCACCCCTAAACCCGAAATCCCAAGCCCACTTCTTCAGCCCCCCCCCAAACCCAAAACCCTAAGACCCCAAAACCCCAAAACCCCCAAAACCCCCTAAACCCCAAAACCCCCTTAACCCCTAAACCCCTAAACCCAAAAAATCCCAAGCCCCGACTCTTGCGAAGCCCGGGTCTTGGGAAAGCCCAGGTCTACTACGAGGCTTGGGGCTCTCGGGTTTAGGGTTTTAGGTTTTAGGGTTTTTTGGTTTAGGGTTTAGGGGTTAGAGGTTTAGGGTTTAGGGTTTTAGGGTTTAGGGTTTAGGGGTTTAGGGGTCTAGGGTTTAGGGTTTAGGGGTTAGGGTTTAGGGTTTTAGATTTTAGGGCTTAGGGGTTAGGGTTTAGGGGCTCCTTTCGACTCAAACTCCGTTCCAGGGCTTCTCGGTGAAGGTCGAGGGCTCGGTTCCCCAATAGCCCGTGCTTGAGAAGGGCGGCCTTTTTCCTACTGGTTTTAAATGCGGTATTACTGGGGTACCTAGATCGTTTAGGGTCTATAAGGTTCACAAAAAGGGGAGCCTTTTTCCTACTGGTTTTAATAGGGTATTGCTGGGGAACCTAGAGGGTTTAGGGTCTATAAGGTTCACAATAAGGGCATCCTTTTTCCTACTGGTTTTAATACGGGAGCCCAAGAAGAAAAAGGGCAACAGGGCACTACTGGGGAACCTAGATAAGGTTCACGGATATGCACCGGAGTGGACGGAATGGGAGGGTCGATGCGGGTTGCTGCAAGTTGAGGTTTCGGTCGCGTGTAACTTTTGACGTCTCGCTGAATTCTGTGGCTTGTTCTGCAAGCACCGCATCTGCAGCTCCGCTGCTCAGCATAGACAGCAAGAGGGCCTCAGATACCGCTCCTTGTCGGCGTCAAGCGAGGAGCGCACAACCTGCGCGTCCTGAGCTGCAATGCCCAGCGGGGTGGGGCAGTCGATTACGGCGTGGGCCTGTTCAGAGTCGGTCTCCAGAAGGAGGTAATCAACATCAATGTGCCCGTGCAGCAAGCTGCAAGGCAACTGTCCGTGGAAACTGCAAGGCGCAAAGGGGTGGTACTGAAATTGCTACCCTGCTCATTGTCAGTCTCGGCCTTTGGCAAACAATGTGCAACCTCCAACTGTCCTTCCTGTGTGGCAACGAAGGAAGGCACGGCGCCATTCTTTGGTGTCTCCTCCAAGTGCCCGTCGTGGGCTGCCATGAGCAATGGGGTGGCGCTGTCATGCGTGGCCTTGTCCTTGTCTGCATTGTCCTTCAAAAGGCGTGCAATCTCCAAGTGCCCGCACTCGGCTGCTATGAACAGCGGAGTGGCACCACTATCCATGGCCTTGTCCTTGTCGGCGTTGGCCTCGAGCAAAAGGTGTGCAACCTCAAAGTGCCCGTGCTCGGCTGCCACGTACAATGGGGTGGCGCCGTCATGCATGGCCTTGTCCTTGTCTGCATTGTCCTTCAGCAAAAGGCGTGCAATCTCCACGTGCCCGCACTCGGCTGCTATGAACAGCGGAGTGGCACCACTATCCATGGCCTGGTCCTTGTCGGCGTTGGCCTCGAGCAAAAGGTGTGCAACCTCAAAATGCCCGTGCTCGGCTGCCGCGTACAATGGGGTGGCGCCGTCATGCATGGCCTTGTCCTTGTCTGCATTGGCCCTCAGCAAAAGGCGTGCAATCTCCAAGTGCCCCTTGTCGGCTGCTATGCACAGTGGAGTGGAACCATTATCTATGGCCTTGTCCTTGTCTGCATTGGCCTTCAGCAAAATTCGTGCAATCTCCAAGTGCCCCTTGTAGGCTGCTATTAACAGTGGAGTGGCGCCGTCATGCAGGGCCTTGTCCTTGTCTGCGTTGGCCTCCAGCAAAAGGCGTGCAATCTGCAAGCGTTCGTTCTGGGCTGCGAGGAACAGTGGAGTGGCACCACAATCCATGGCCTTGTCCTTGTCGGCGTTGGCCTCGAGCAAAAGGTGTGCAACCTCGAAGTGCCCCTTCTCGGCTGCAACGCACAATGGGGTGGCGCCCTCATTCATGGCCTCCTTGTCTGCGTTGGCCTCCAGCAAAAGGCGTGC